TGATTCCCTGTTAACCAGGATGGATGAGGTGCCAGGTGAGGTGTCATTACGGCCGCAGCTGAAGGTGGTTGTGGAGACGGGGAATGTTCTTCAGCCGCAGAAGGAACCCGCCGGACCGAACCGAGCCCCAGCTGTGCTGACACAGCTGGTTCCAGGCACGGACGGCCCGACACCGCGCTCGGCTCCAGGAATTTTTTCCGGGCCTCGCTGGAGAAACCATAACAAGTGCAGGAAATAGATTAGTGCACTCTGGGTTCCACACCAGCCGCAAACCTCCAGAGCCCGACCCCTTCAAACCCACATGTGTGGGAACAGGAGACACCAGCCGAGGGAGCGAGACCCCATCCAGACATCAGCGCAGGTCTCAGGAGGACGAGCGATGCGAGCTCTGTATCCTCTGCCTGGGACTCTCAGAGCTCTGCATCTTTGATATGAAGGGGAGTCCTGCCATTTGTCTTTTGGTGGACTGACGTTGCCCACCTGTCTCTCTCTGTGCTCATTTATCTACGTCTTTTACAGGATCACCTTTGGGGAAACTCACCAGGCATCACTTTATACTGAACTAGCACTCAATCAGTTTACTCAAATAACTCACTTATCGTTTGTAACTGCTACTAAATAGTCCCACTGTCTAAGAGGTTAGTGGTGCTTCCATTTTTGCTAACATGTCCCACCATTACTGCCGTCTATCGCATCCTAATTTAACATGTGTCTAAATGATGATTTTAAACATGTAGGTGGAGAAAGATAAAAGCTAATTATTATTGATCCTATAGTATGCCTCTTAGCGGTGTCGTGTCGTCTATTGAAGGCACTATTCTGCTACTTCCTCTACAATCGATATCTTTCTTTAAAACCAACTTGCTTTAACTGTTTTTAACCAAATAACCGACACCTCAGCCTGACATGTACCAGCTTTTCTGCCATTGAACTCATTCACAACTGGACAAATCTCAAGCTGATTTCCTTTGACGTGCTAATTTTCATCGGAATAAATCGCCATAAGACAGATGGTGATGGAGGTTTGGTGACACAGTGACTGTTTGTTCTCCTGGATGTGGCCGTTTCTTTCTTTTAACAGAGGTTTGTTGTTTTGTGACTGGAGGGTTCCTGGTTTAATTCAGGCCAAGGCCAGCTGCCGGCTCCCAGTGACCGGTGATTATACGAGCCCTAATGGGGCTGTAAGGGTTCAGCCAGAGATCAGGTAGGTTTTGTTTTTATTCTGATGGCCTTCTTATGTCAGTCCCCCACAGAAAAATAAATACGTTCAAACCTTGAACACTGTGGAAGCGATTCCGGCCTGAGCTTCAGCTTGGCAGGGAGGGAGATGGGATTACCATCTGAATTCACTCAGTGTATGTACTGCTGTGTGTGTGTGTAGAGGTGTGTATGTGTGTGTAGAGGTGTGTGTGCGCATTTCCAGCTGTATACAAGCGAGTGGAAAATGCGTCTCTATACGTGTGTTTTTGTAAATATACATGATGTGTGCATGCCTTATGGGTGACGTTTGTGCAAGAATGAGAATCAGAAACAGCTCGCTCTGCTTTAAACGTGTGTTACTGAGTGTGTGTGTGTACATTTCACGACCCTCAGAAAACTCACTTCTTACTTTGCACGTCAGAAAAAATCCAAACATCCCCCCAAGGTACTTTTTAAGACATTTCAACACATGGTCACTATGTGTTACTTGTCCATGTGCTGTGTTGATGTTAGACATTGATCTTTTTTTTATGAGAACCTCACAGAGTTCCCTACAAAGCAGCAAAGGCAAGACTGACTTATTATACGAATAGATTTTTAGCCAAAACAGTGAAGTAATCAAATGGAAGCTGTGTCCGATTTCATTACCGCACTGGATGACAAAACTGAAGATGAGTGCATTAAATCTTGGAATTCAAAGAATGGGAGGAGCGCTTCGTGAGCGGCCATCTGGGAAGATGTAAGCCGGCAATCAAACCATGTGGTGTTTTATTGCTCCTTTGTATTTTCTAATGCGTTCTTTATGGAGAAATTCAAAGCACACGAGCGACTGCTCTTCCAATTTTTCTTTAATCCAACAACTGTGCAGCATCTCAGCTAAAAGGACACAGTGTTTAGACAATTAGACGAACAGCACTGCAGATCATTTCCTATTGGGCAATTCTAGTTTGAATGCTGATTTACGGACTTTCTTTGCCTGTGTGGAACTGCAAATATATTCCAGGAATCCTAATCAGGAAACCAACATTGACTTCTTTGCCTGTTCACTCATCCACAGACACTCCTGCTGATGACAGCCAGCTACCATGTGGACAGCTCGATCTACCTGCTGACAGCTGCTCATTTCTAATGTATCCGTGTTTCCAAAGTCGACCGTTTTCATAGTGTGCAGGAATTGATGGAGGCCTGCAGCTTCCTGGAAAAACTTCTGGATCGCTTTAAAAACTGGTCAGTAGTAATGCAAAGTATGTGAAACGTCTATGTACATAGGCGAAGAAAAACAAAAGCCCGTTGGTACTGTAGGCACTGTTTCTTGTTCGTGCTCACTTTGTAAAACCAGCAGGATTAAGTGTCCTGTCTTTCCTTTTGAGCTCACTGGCGACTTTATAAACTGGACACAACATTCACAGCTTTGACATGTCACAACAGTTTAAACACCATCAGTCTCCGGGGAGGCTGCGATGAATTAAAGCAAAACATGTCGAGAGGAAATAACTGTTTGTTTCCCCCTGAGTACTGACATTACGGCGCTAATAGTGGAAGAATGGAGGCCTGTGATGGTTTGCATGAATGCGGCTCGATTGCACAACAACAAAGCCTCTGGAGGAGCGGGGCAGACGCTTGGAGCCGGCGCTTCCCAAACAGCTGCCCGGGTCCCCGAGAGGACGGACGGCACTCGAGAGAGAAGTTCAGCAGCTCCGTCTTCCTACTCTTCACAGTGTCAAGAGTTCATTTGAATAAAGTTAAAAGTGAGCTGGATTTGGCTCCCCTCCCCACTGCTCTCTAATCTAATCCATGAGCGGGACTCGCACGCGCTCGCAGGGAAAGACAAACAGGATGCCTCGACTCGGGTGACTCGGATGAAAGAGGCTGCGCTCCGACACAGTTTGAATTCGTCTCCGCCGGTGCCGGTTAAACAGTGAAGCCCGCTGCCTCCCATCGTCTGCTCTCAGGCCGGACTGTGTGTGAATGACTCATTCTGCAGCAACACCCTGAACGCAGAGACACACAGGCTCCGGATCCCAAATCAACGCTGGACCGACAGAACAGCGATGGAGCTCGTGCCCTGTTTCCAAGGAGAACAGTAATAATGATGTGTTTGAGTGCGTGTGACAGAGAGTTTGCCCTTTGGTGCCACTTTTTCATCTTTATCCAAAAACATGAATGCATTTGATGGCAAAACACGCTGCCTCACAAAAACTCAACGGCACTTCTGCAGGGATAAAACTGGCGGCCAACCTTGCAAAAAAAAAAAAAAAGGATGATTAAAGAGAACGTAGGAGTGCATTTAGGGAGCAGTGTGGAGCGTGTTAGCTCTTGCAATGAAGAAAAGATGTCCACCCAAATTTACAAAAAGGCCGATTGTTCCGTTTTATCGAACGTATTAGTCACATGAACTCTTTGTTTGGAAAACAGTGCGATCTGTGGATTATCGAGGTGAGCTTTCTCTGGAAGTGTGTGTTGAGTTTTACAAACTTTTATGAACGTCTGAAGATTCTCAGTCATCCAGATCATGGTTATTCTCGTAGTTTGATCGTAGCAACTGGACTTGCTTGAGTTTCTTTAAGACGTTTCACCTCTCATCCAAGAGGCTTCATCAGATCTGACTGACTAGTTGGGAGTTCCAGATACTTATATCCTTAATTATGGAGCCAATAACACTTGAGAACCTGCAGAATCATTTACGCTTCAGTCTGAGATGCAGACAACACGACCTCAAGTGTTAATGTCTCCTTGAGGATATAAGTATCTGGAACTCCCAACTAGTCAGTCAGAACTGATGAAGCCTCTTGGATGAGAGGTGGAACGTCTTCAAGGAGCTCAAACAAGTCTAGTTGCTATGATTGATCTACCAGAATAACCATGACCTGGATGACTGAGAATCTTTAGACACGTCTTCAAGTTTGGGATTCGTGGAGTTTGGAGGGCTCTTGGTCGTGTTCCTCTAACCATTCCTGAAGCATTGGTGCAGGGTTCATTATCCTGCTGAAAGAGGCCACTGCCATCTATTCATATGATGTGTGGTTTTAAAGCTGCAGCTGATTGTTTTCAGCCCTGTTGTCTGTTGCTACAGTAAGCAGATTGTGTGTGATGTGACCTCATCGCTGTGTTGTGCAAAACTGCAGACTCATGCGCCTTTTTGCAGATAAAATGCTACATTTAAGTCGAATAATGGTCACTGTGTTGTAAAAGAAGAATCTCACAATGAACATAAAACCCAAACTGTCCGCATGGCTTCACACCACGAGTGGGAAAATATGTTTGTTTGTAATTTGTGTGAAGTGATGCTTGCAGCTTTAATTTTTATCCTTATCTTTCTGGTTTGGATCGGTTCGCTGCAAGTCTGATGGGAAAACTTCTGACGTGGACGCTAGACAAATGTGCGTGTGAACTCCGTGCTTTTGTTGCACCACAACACACAGATACGTGTTGACTGCACTTTCAGTTGGAGTAACCACATTTTAGAGGCATATTTGTGTGAGTCATCGTGCATAAGTGACTCATTCTGAGGGGATAAAGGACAGAGAAAAGTTTCTTGATCTGGGAGGTTCTGTCAGCGAGTTGTTGGGTCCCTGCGGTGAGCCGGACCTCACAGACCGACATCCACATTGGAGCCAAACACGAAGACGGCGCAGCGCACATAAATATAAAAGGTAATTCTAGGTAAGAAGCAGCAGAGAAACAGAGAAGCCCACACACTTAGTGCCTTTAATTCATTCACAAAACCGTAAAAGTTTTATGATCAGAGCTCCAAGTGAGTCTCTCTTCCACCAAAAAGCAAAAAAGGTCACTTCACTTACCGAACCTCTTGTATCCAAAAGACTGTACTTCCTCCTCGTCTGCAAAGTCGTCTGCGTGACATAATCAGAAACATATGACAGAAATAGGTCATCGGCACGCTACTGGGGGTACACTGTGTTTAAAGCAGATGGTTGGGACTCTACAAACAAAATAAAAAACAGACAGAAACACTACGGGGCAGCTGCACGGAGCCAAAAAAACTCATCATGTCATCCCTGAACACGATGATTTAGCAAAGCAGATGCAGGATTTAGGGTGCAGATAGAGAAGCATCGTGTCTTGTGTGGAGATTGGAGGTCCGGAGAACTGTAAAAGCCACAGGCTGCGGTTTCTCTGGGTTGTTGACAGTAAACCCTAATTACACTCTGCTCCACTACACTGAAGACTGGAGCAGAGCACAGAGAACATCACTGCTAATGGTTAACAGATGGGGGGCCGATGGTGGGGAGGTGAGATTGGTGGTGGTGGTGGTGGTGGGGGAGAGACAGGGAGGGATGAGCTGTGTTTGTCGGTGGGGGGTTAGTCAGATAGATGACAACTGAATCACACATGACTGGGCGATAAGTTACTTGATTTCCCTCAAAGTGGATAAAACATTGATGCAGTTTGAGATGAAACAGAAGTTGAAACTCTGCAGGTGTTGCTCTGCTTTTATTTCTCAGATGTTAAATGTGGGATTTGTTTCAACGATCACAGCAGGAGCCTAACCAATACTGATGGTGCATAACTTCATTTGGTGTTTTATTCCTTTTAATCGGATACAACTGGTGGAGTTAAAACTTTCACAACTTCTGCGCCCTAATGCCATCCAGATGTGACTCACTGACCACAAAGAAACAGATTGAAAGTCTCCAAAGACAGGTATATCTAACATTAAATTTAAAAATCATGCACTCAGATGAGAGTGGTAAACATACCTTTCATGGCGTTTCGTAGCTCGTTTAGGACTGTAGAAGAGATGAGGACTCCTGTCACTTTCTGCGCATCTCAGCATCCAGTGCAAAAGGTGGAAAGTTGTTCCACAGAGACCGACGCACGCTGCAGCTAGAGGAACGTGAAGCTAGAAGTGTGAGCTCATGGTCGCTTTGCAGTTTAAAATCCCATCGTCTGTGTTTTCCTGCTCGCTGAGGAGTTTGTGTAGCGGAGCTCAGATGATCCGCAGCCTTGTCTTCCAGCGCAGCGCTGAAGGAGGAGAGCTGAGTCCACCAGCGTCAAGTTACTCACAGTGATGAGCTGCACATCCGGTATGGATTTCAGAATTAAAGCGTTTTTACTAGACAGGAATAAAGTTCAACCAGAATCCCTTTTGCACTTGAATATGTCCTTATGCTCTTAATATTTAAAGACCCTACAGTATATACTATCAGAGTACAGACTGAGAATCTACACAGACACAATATCATTGTGTAAATTTACCTGACTTCTTTAATTATTGCCAGGATTCCAGTCTCTGCTCCTCCATTCCTTCTCTCACTGCTTCTTATTTATTTTGTTAATGCCTACTACTGGCAGCACTCTTTAATCTATATGTCACTGTTTACTGTTGTGCTCTAAAACACCAATTCCTTGTGTGTGAAAACTTACTCAGCATTAAAACCTTTGTGATGCCTGATAAGCAGCGATCTGCAGCACCTGAGCAGAAGCTGCCTCCAATCAGCACGCTTCTCTATAAAACTGCAGCTCAGACCTCAGCTCTGCCAGACTTTGATACGTGCTCAGGTTACATGTCTTGGTCTCCCCACTGGATCGTTCTCTACCTGTTTCAGTTGCTGCAACCTCCAGACTCTGAACTAGCCAGACACTTTGCTTGCTTGCCCTTTCTCAGCTGGTTCTGTCAGTTAAGTTTTTTTTCATTTTCCTCCTGTGAGTTTGTGTTCTTGCTTCTCAGCATTCACTTTCTGTTGTTAGCCTAGCCTTTTGTTGCATTAGCTTGCCCATAACCCTTCCTTAGTTCAAGTACTTGGTTGTTTGGTGTCTGTTTTTTCACTAGATGTTACAAAAAACAAAACAAAACAAACAAACAACAAAAAAAACCAGCTTCTGCAGCAGGTCTCTGATTTCCTTGTCCCCATTAGTGTGCAAACAATGACAATACTTTTAAGATCTACAACATTAATAATTATTCATATTCACCTGACTGTATTTATAAAGATTAAGACTCTACAGTTTTATGTATATTTACTTTACTAAGCAAAATATTGCGGTTAAGACCCTAAAGTGTGATTTATGATGAAAATGTCCCTCACTAATTAAAATATTAAAGATAAAAAATAACTTACCTGATGAATTTAAGTATTAAATGTAAAACCCTATATTATTACTTGTGCAAAATTTCCAAACTATCTCAAATATTAAAATTAAGACCAAATAATATTCTTAACTAACCTATATAAATTTAACTAACAAATTTAATCATTTTTTTAGGACCCTGCAATACTGGTAAATATGCACGTTTTACAAATTAATATAAATATTAAAGTCAAGACTTTACAATAATACTTGAACTTAACTGAGCGTCAAATGTTACAGTAAAAAACCTACAATAGTATTTAAGATACTAATTTATCTGACTAATTTAGATATTAGACTTAAGATCGCACACTATTAATAGCTACATAAATATACCTGATAAATTTAAATATTATGTTTAATTTCCACAATTTTATATCAAATACAAATGTACCTGACTATTTGTTATATTAGATACTTAGATGTTATGGTTAAGGCCCTACAATATTCATTATACAAACTTACCGCTGTAGTCTACATATTAAGGCAAAGCCCCTGCAATAATTTTAATCAGGAAAACGAGTTAAATACCTAAATTCCAAACACACTTTCCCACTCATGGAAGCAGCCTTGTGGATTTTGTTTTTATTGGACTCTACAGTATCATATATAATGCAAACTCCCCAGACTAGCTTAAATGTTATGGTTGAGACTGCACAATACTAGATAGAGTATGAACCAACCTGACTAACTTATGTTAAAACCTACAATATTATGTATTCTAATACATAACGTGACCTTTGACCTTTTATAAAGAGTAGACTTTTACTTTGAAAGCTCCGTCGCCTTTTTCCCCTCAGCTCTCGTGTCTAACTTGACACCGCAGCTGCTTTGGGCCACATCTGTGCTTCTCGGTTCCTCAGAGTCCCGGTGACCGTCCCGTCGCCTCCCGCTGAGTCTCCTCCTGTGGGGATGGAGGAGGTGCGGCCGGCTGTCAGCGCCGCAGACCCCGGGACGTCTGCACACATCCAGCCGGAGATCAGATTAAGTTACTGGGGGTTGATGGCAATCGCGTCCCCGGGTGAAAAATCTGGTATCCATTAGAGGTAATTTCAAAGGTTTGGGAAGGTGGAGGAGAGCGACATTTCTGTCCATCCTGTTTTTACATATTTACATCTAATGTCCTTCAAGAGTAATAATTCAACAAACCACTTTCATATTGACATAGGGCTCCTTTAGTCTCTCAGTGGTGTTTTATAATAGTTTTATCATGAGGTTTGGAGGGATTTTAACCCCACATTCCTGCAAATATTTATACATTTCCAATTAATTTCTAAATTATTGCCATAAAACAAGAGAAAACTGTACTGCTGCAGTAAGATTATATCAATCTGGCCTCATATAAACACATGATTTGCTACAAATTAATATCTGGATCATGAAATAACACAAATAGCAACAAGAAAAACAGTTTGATTTAGTCATTTGTTTGTCAGAAAATAAAGTTTAATACACAATTATGCTCAGGAATTACTTTAATAGTTGAATATATGCAGTTTTATTGCTCTACTGTCCATATCAGGCTGTTGATTATTTACCATTTTCTTGCCTTTACTGAAATAAAAAAGTGCAACTCTTAATTTCCCAAGACAGTGTGAACATGTAGTTCTTTCCATTTCTTTGCTTTTGCTCTAACAACACTTCATCTCATCCCAATAGCAGCCGACTTTGGCCGCAGCCTCTCCGTAATGTTCACCAGCAGCCTTTTTCCTCCTCAAACTCTTCCAGGTGCTGTGATAATTCCAACACTTCCTGCGTCCGTAATCTCTCCGGCCTGCAGACGCACATCGCTGATCAAAGGCCCCAAAAACCAGCTGCATCCTCCCAAAACTAATGAGGAACATCAAAGAAATCAAGACAGACCCTCTCTCAGGTCTTCGCAGCACAGGTTTGGTGTCACCGGGTTACGTGACGTGGCCTCGATTCTAATCTCTCCCGTGATTTACAGGAAAGGATGGAGATAACAGCGACCGTCTCAGCTCTGAAACCCCATCAGCTTCCCAACACAGACATCAAACTGAGATCTGTTTTCCTTCTTTCTTCGCAGCCTTCAAACCCGGGCTCAGCGCTAAATAGCTTGAGATTGACCCGGTCCGCCACATATTAGGCTCCAGAGCAGCCTGAGATGATAAAGCCACTAATTACTTGTTTTCCTAAAGGCTTGGAAACTGTTATTTTACTGTCGGCTATAATTGGAGCAGCAGGCTGGTATTAGGGCTCCGATAGAGATGGTGGCGGCCTGATAAAAAGCAGCTGAGGCTCGGGTGTCTTGCAGCCGGGCTCCTGCTGCTCCTCATTCAGGGGTTGGGACCTCATTTGCCGGGTCAAGGCTTTCAGCAGTGGGCTCGGATTATCCGAAGGCCTAGACAGCGCGTAGGAATTCCACATTTACCATGCTGCTGCCATGTTCAGATGTTATGATAGGAACTGGGGCAGCTTGGAGCGTTTGCAGCAGGAGAGAGAGTGGCCGGTGGTGGTGGAGGGCCCAAAGACAGGAAGCTAAGAAGTGCTTTTCTTTTTATTTACACACTACTGATGCAGGAGGATTTTTATTCATGATTCTAGCCAAGAAGTTGGAGGAAAGTCTGAAATGGAGTGTTTTCATACATCTATCATGAATTCCTCTGCTGGCTTTTGATCAAACATGTAATCTGAACATGCTCCTGAGCTACTGTGCTGTATGTTAATGTAAAACGGTTGCATCCGGCTGCATTAGCATTCACAGTCATGCTTCTAGTCAACTCAGGAATGTTTAGTTTCATTTATTAGGTCCAATATTCTTTCTCCTTTCAGACTGCTCAGGTCTCTGCCTCAGCTCCTGGTGAAACTGATCCGAAACGGTGAAGTTGCAGGACTTAAAAAACAAAACAATGAGCTGAAAGATGCTGAAATGTTCAGCGGAGTGACACCTTTCTCATTTAAGCAGCAATCCATCTCTTGCACAATCAATTCTTATCAGCCTAAAAACAGCTAAGATCACTATTTATGTTAAAATCCAATTTTAAAAGCTTGTTTTTTATAGTTTCTTGCATTGTTGTGATGTAGGCTATTAAAGTGAGGCCTGGTTCAAATGTATATGTACTTTATAGGACGAGATCGTCCATTTTTATCTCAAAAGAAATCTTAAAAATGCAAAAACAGGCTTAAAGTGCTGTCAAGAGGATGTCAAACCAACAGGTGGTGATATAGCTCTCACTCTAAAATGTATTCCAATAGAAGTCTGGGGGAAAAAAAGTAGAAGAGTAACTTTATATTTATGTGTAAACCTGTTAAAAACATTCTGTTGGTTAAATCGTCTCATGTAAACAAATGAGAAAATGGCACAAACTCAAAACCAAACGCTGCAAAAAACTCACACTGGAAAGAGTTTTCCAAAAGTTTGCATTTGTACAAAAGGTCAAAAGTCACAGCAAAAGCCAAGTTTTAAATCCAATCCGTGACTTTCGGGCTCAACTTCCAGCTTTTAAATCTTGGCACATTATTCAAGTTAATAAGTGGAGAAGAAAAAACATAACAAATGCAGATGTTTCCACGAGGGAAGCCGTCACTGAAAGGTTCGACACGTATGAAAACGACGTGCTGCGGCCTCGTGATGAAGCCTGCGGTTCTTTGGGGGTTTGATGTGGGACGAACCTGTAACTGTGTCGGTTCTGCAGGTGGCTGATTAGCGTGATCTGGAAACACCCGCGGCGCTCCGTGTGTTCCTAGATTACTTCAATCTTGGCTGCAGTTGAACCGCTCTGCTCCTCTCTGTGGGAACCCGACATTCTGGTTCGGGATTATTTCACTGTAGCGCCCACATGTTTCTCTCCCGCAAACAACTCTGACTTCACTGATTCCTCACCGCAGTGTTGGGGATATGTCTTTTAGTTTAGATTCTTCTTTGGTTTTTCTTCTTGTAGCCACTGCAGCTATAACAGACCTTTACAGTCACTGATTGGAAGATTTTGGAGAAACATTTTAAAGGGAAGTTTTCATCACTCATAATTCAAATAGAGGAATATTGTCCAATAGAATCTCGAGTGGAGAATTTCACACTTTTGCACATTAATACAAATATAATCCTTTAACCTCTGAAGAGTTCAGCTCTTGTTTGATATGCATTTTTTTTTTATTGTTATTTCTCTTTGCTATTAGATCAGATCAAAAAGCAAAGAGAAAAAAAATAGAAAGAAAATAAAAATAGATTTTTAAAAAATTTATAAAAATATTTTAAACAAAAAATTTTAAAAAATAAAAATGAAAATAATAATAATAATAATTAATTAACTACTGTGGACGCCATGTCTTAAGAATTTAATATATTCAGAGTATCTAAAAATCATAGCATCTCGAGCCTAAATAATTATTTATATGTGCATTTGCATTTTTTTTTCAGTCCATTCACTTCCAAACTAGTACATTAGAAGAGTATCCATTTCAGAGAAGATGCAGTTGTGTTGTATGAATATTAAAATATCTTTATCTTACATGCAGTGCAAGTTCGACTACGTTACCACAGAAAATACAATATAGACAAAAACATATTCAAATATGGATTCCACAGATCTGTTCATTGCTTAATTTTAATGTCATACAGAAATTAATGGACACCTAATAGCTGCCTGGAATGGTAGAAAAAATCCAAACATCAAAACCTGCGTGCTTTGTAGTTAGAGCTAAGACTTGTAAACAACCAGAGTTTTTGCCAGCATTCACATGTGCATGCACAGGCCTCCCGCTCCTGTTGTGCCCTGCGGTGCAGAGCTTAGCCCGTGATTGAGACCATGCCGGTGAGTGCCAGGTCCTTGCAGGAGGTCCAGGCTTACTGTCAGCCCAATGAAGATTAGAGCATAAAGTTTTACCTGAGGAGGGCTCTGGAGCACGTTAGAGACAATTAAGCGAGTGAGACGGAGCTGAAAACAACTGGGCACGTTTTTATGTGGACTGCGCATTGAAGCGAGTCCGTTAGCTGGTCTGCAGGTACGCTGTCTGCATGAGGCTTAATAAGCAATAACGCAGACACACTAATAGGATCTGTGCTGCTGAGTAGATCCATAAAAATAGAACAATCCTCGAGGAAGCAGAGTCTGTCAGTCTCATCCCTCCAACAGCACAAGCTGCTGCTTTTGTTCTGGAGTCGGATGTTTTCGTAGTCCTCCAGGTAAATGGCATTTCTTTGGTTTCTTAGAGTCACACGGGGGGCACAGATGTCAGCGTGCGACAGCAGGGCTCAGATGAGGTGTAGTTTTCCTAGAAAGCATCAAATACAGCTTTATTTTGAACATATGTGCCACCTAGAAGACATCATGTTCTGTGTGTTGAGTGAGAAGTAATGATCAGCATAGCCACAGCAATATAGTGTATTTAATTCTGAACAGCCAGTGTTTAAGATTTTTCTTTGCTTTTTTCTTTTTGTTGTTTGTCACATGTACAGATAACAATATACTGTGTTGTGCAGCAGTTTCTTATTGCTGCTGAATGTCCACAATCTACCAGAGCAGGAGCTAAAACAAGAGCAGCCAAACTTATTTTACTTCAAGAGTCAAGCTGTTGCAGTTTTGCTAATTTTATTGAATTAAAATGCAGTTGTGCTCTGTTATAACTGCTGGGTTAGTTCATGTGGATCTCTTTTGTTCGTCCTGTTTGTTGGCTTCACACCAGAACACGCTAATGAGTGAACATTTTGTAATTAGTTCCCCTTAATGTTGTAAACATTTTAACTGGTTTTTAAATGAAATTGCACAAGAAATGCTGCCACCTTGTGGGAAAACGACTGTTTCTTCATGTTGCGCTTTTTGTTGCCAGAGAAATAAGAAACTGTCCAGAGCTGAAGACGAGATGAGGAGGTTTCTGTCTCAGATTCTCTGCATCGCTGTAGTTGTGCTCTGTGCCGCTGATTCTCCTGCCGTCAGCGAGGAAACACTGAAAAGTAAGAACTTCACTGACAGAATAACAAGAAACATATGAGGAGAGGGTGTTGGAGAGCTTAATCAGTGTGTGTCTTATGTGTGTGTGTGTGCAGAGCTGTCTGCAGCTGGAGAGCAGTATGTGGATGAGGAGATAAAACAAACTTTACTTGGAGTGAAGCAGATGAAGGAAATGATGGAGAAGAAAGAAGAGAAGCACAGACACCTGATGGACGCCCTGAGACACAGCAGCGACAAGAAGGAGGTCAGTTTTGATGCCAGAATTCAGGCTCCAGCTTCTACAAGTGAAGTAGATTTGCATATTAGTCAGTTTCATGCCAGTCTTTGTGGATTATTCTGAAGCCCACCACACATTTTCTGCCTCATAAAAGCAAAGTCACACAGAGAAACCTCAAAGCAGACAGTGAATGATGAAGGTGGGAGTGCGGCTGGTTGAGCGAGTTGTGGGTGTAGTTTTACTGCAAGTCAGAATAAATGAACTGTCACTAGATTCATATATTTTCTTAGTCATTTCAGAACAAAAAGCAGGGCTGCGTGCCAGATCCCCGAACCCTCGTCTTATCCTCTCTGGCTTATTAAGAGGCAACATATCAGTGACAGAAGTTTCTGTTCTGGGGTTCCTTCAGGGGGTGATGCAGCTGGCCAAAGAAACAGAGCAGAAACTGGAGGAAGCTGAACAGAGATGTCGAGATTTGACCAAATCTTCCTTTGGGAAGTGTCGACCTTGCCTGGAAGATTCCTGTAAGGCCTTCTACACGTCTACATGTCGCCGTGGCTTCGCTTCTTTCTCATTTAAGGTTTGACTTCAGTGTGATAAAAAGTCTCAAAGCTCAGAAAATGTGACATTTAAGACTGATGTGACGAATATTTCTATGAATCTCACTTTAGGTCGAGGAGTTTTTTAGGAAAATGGCCACCCAGTTGGACGCTACAGAGCATGTTTACAATCAAAACCAGGAGAGTTCAGATGGAACCTCGTCAGCTGAGATCACAGAAGATAGATCCCATCTGGATCTGTCCCAGGCTGAAACGTCGTTCAGTCAGCTGTCGTCGAACATCAGCCTCCTGTACGACCGCAGCATCTCCGTGGTCCAGAGGATGCAGCAGGTGTTCGGTCGTTCCTTTCAAGCCGCCTTCACCTCAGAGCTGCAGCCCGGCCCGCTGTCAGCCATGCAGGGGGAACCCAGCGCCGGCTTCCTCAGGACCGTGGGTTTGGATCACGTCTTCGACTCGGTGTTTGACTTTGGGAAGAACGTGGTGGAGAAATTCAGCTCCACGGTGGCTGATGCGTTTGAGGAGATGCATGAAGCTGAAGAGTATCTACAACAAGGTATCTGATGCTTTGTGTGTCACTGTAGAGAAGAACCGTGTGTTTGTTTGCTTTATGTGCTCCTGGGTAACACTGTTTGGTCTTAATCTACAGATACAGGTTCCCTTCCTGCTTGGGGAGCGACTCCAGGCGGATATCTGTGCAGACAACTAAGGAGACAAGCATCAGAGTGCTGGCAGCTGCAAGTCTTATGCGAGACATGCAAGGATTATCTGCTAAAAGGTAATTCACTGGCACAGACAGTACTCACTTTTGGTTCCAATTCTATTTGGCTGCTCATCATACACAGATACATAATTTTTTAAGTTGAAATTTAAATGCTCAAATTACAAGCTTTTTGCTCACAGGAACATTAAAAAACTTTTAGAAATTGCAGCATGGCCTTCTTTACTTTACGTACTGAGAATAAAATTAAGTTGAAACTATTCTCCAGTTTTTTTTAATGTTAATCATGTCCAAGATTGATTAATATTTACACTAATCAAGTGACCATTTAGTGGAGAAAATGTACAAAAATGTGTTTAAAATCACAATTTCCAAGAGCACAAATTTGACTTATTTTTCTGAGCAATAGTCCAAATGCCAGTGATGGTCAGTTTATAATGATTTAAGACAAAAGCAGCAAATCCTCATATTTAAGAAGCTGGAATCAGTGACTTTTTGCATTTTTTAGTCAATTAAAGGGTTAATCCATTATCACACTTGTTGCTGATGAATTATCTTCTCACTTAACTGATAAATCAATTCACTGGAAATTGCTTGATTATGATTATTACTAACAACATTGCGGCTAAACAATATCTTCAGTAATACCTTTTGGCACTGGTACAATAATGCCATCATCACTTGTTGACTTTAACTCCAGATAGGTGGGTGATAAAGGTCTGCTGATGTACAATGTTTTCTGTCCCAGAGTTGTGGATTTATTCCCTCTTCTCCACTTTCAGAGTGTCCCAGTGTGCAGCAGTTGCACTCTGAGACGGAGGAGATGTACATGCTGCTGAACGCCTCCCGTCAGCAGTACGACGACAGACTGCAGCTGGTCCAGAGACACACAGCCGACACTCAGAAGTGGCTGAGCAGCATGGATGACAAGTTCGGTTGGATCAGCCAGCTGTCCAACAGCTCAGTGGACCCACAGCACATCTTCAGAGTGATCACGGTGTGTTTGTATTGATGCCGGATCTGTCAGATCTTCAGTATTTAATTTGGAAGACTGTTATCAGGGCTACTAAGTACTAAGTGCATTTGTCTTTGGCTGATAAATCAGGATTAGTGTTGAGCCTACATCAGAGTTTCTTTGCCAAAGAGCATTCAAAATAATCCTGTTATTTGAATTATATATATGTGTGTGTGTGTGTGTGTGTGTGTGTGTGTGTGTACAAACATTTTCATTCCCTAAAAGGAATTATAAAAGTTGAAAGCCAAATCCCGTCCTATGCACTTTGCACATTCTATATGATTAAATGCATATGATTATGTTGATTTGCAATAATCCTTCAGTGGATATCAAGTTGGTACAATATTGCTGCCCTGCAGTTTACTTTGATGTTATATTTTAGTATTGATGATCTGTGTTGCAGCAGTGGTCTGAAGCAGTTTCTCATTTTTCAGGTGAATTCGCAGCCACAGATGAAGAATATCAAACCTAAAGCAGACCGCAGCGTGGTCGTCTCCATACTGGACTCAACCCCGATAACCGTACTAGTCCCAGCAGATCTGGAGGTGGATGACCCTGCTTTCATCCAGTATGTCGCTCAGGAGGCTCTGACACTTCATAAACAGCAGATAAAAGGTACTGATCTCACCAGCGTGGTTCTTTAGTGGCCTCTACATAAACTGTATTCTCTGTAAATTGGGATCCAAAAACTGTTCTGTGGTTCTTTTCTACGCAGGAATGGAGTAATGTGACCATCTGATCATCCAAACAGTTTCTCCAGATGCTGAATAAAGAGTTCAGTGACGTCCAGGTTTTTTGAACAACTAAGCTTTATCTTTTCAAAACTTGAAAATGACCGCGTAGACCTCTAAACTCTCACATGCACAGCTTATGTTCTTTATGTTCATGTATGTTGATTCTTATAGTTTTGAAATGTTTCTGCAATAAAACTGTGTACACTGCTCAAGCCATTCTTTGTTGTTGTGTGTGTGTGTGTGTTTTTTTTTCTGTTAAATTTTGTATTTAGCATATAAATATTTTATTCATTAGAATTTCTTCTTCACAATTAATTATTTTACATTACTGGAACAATTTGCATTTCTTATAGAAAATTAAACCTTTGAATGCAGTAGCATATATTTGAACATAGTTTATGTAAATCAAAGAAGATTTTATGTCTTATATGATTATCCTGGCAAAATGTTAGTGTGAGAGTAGATGCCACTGATGACCTGCAAAGCAACAAAGAAAATAATCTGAATTTAGGGCCAGTTTGAGCTGATTTCTTCATATTTTTACATGTATTTTACATTATCATTATTATTAGTAGTAGTAATATTAAACACAAAATGGAAATAATGCTAAAAAACCATGTCACTTATTTTGAAATATATTTTAAAAGAGCCTCTTTGACATTTTGGTGATCATAATGTATAATAATTCTTAGATTTTATTTTAATTTATTTTGTGCATTTTGTCAGTTTTGTAATGTCTGCGGAAGTGTTTGTATAAAAGGACAGCAATCATTAAAAAAAAAAACAAAAAAAAAAAAAACAGTGGGGCGCTTTTTTCGTCACTCTCGCGAGATCTGTTCTCGCCTCCTGTTGGGCCGTTCAGTGAAAGGGGCGGTCGGCGCGGGAAATTTACCCGGGAGAAAGAGAGCAGGGACAATTCTGTTATTGATCTCTCTGCAGGACACCTCCGAACTTTTGTCCACAAAAATGCCCGCCACCTCAGAGATGCACACCGTGGAGCTGCAGCGGCAGGACTGCCGTGAGGAGAAGGAAAAGATGGCGGCTCCGGCTCCGGAGAAGAAGTTCGGAATGTTCTGCGATGAACGCGGGTACCTGGACCAGATCGAGTACATCATGCAGCACGGCCGCAGGAAGGGAGACCGAACCGGGACAGGAGTCATCTCTGTGTTCGGGGCTCAGGCCAGATACAGTCTGAGAGGTAATGCTTGACTTTATATGCGTACTGGAGGTAGAAGTGCTGGTAACAACAGCCCTGCAAGAAGTGATCAGATTGTCAGGAAGTACTGCAAGTAAAAGTCATGCATTCAGGAAGGAAAAGTGCAAATAGCCATATTTACTTAAAGTAAAAGCATGCATTATAGAAAATGTGTCATATTATTTAAAAAAGCTTAATAAAGTAGCATGGAATAAAACTGCTAAGTTAAAGTGGAAGTAACTTAAAATTGCACTTATGTCCAGTAAAAGTACCAAGCTAAAAAAAACCAATTTCTTATTATTATCGCTACAGATATATCTGTGTTGGAGTTTATTAAACAGCAACTTGCAGCACCTAAATGTCTAAAATGTCTCGTAGACATTTGTGTAACAGTTTGTCCACCAGAGAGCACTGACAAGTGTACATAGTTGATTTTTAAGATGTATGTTTTTTCCAATATGTTTATTGAGCTATTGTGATGATTGATTAATTGGTTTGAGTGAATATTTTTGAGAAAGAATATCTAAATCCTCACCTTCTTGAATGTCTTCACACATCTGTTTCACAAAACAAGTGAATAAGAGAGGGATGAATGTTTCCAAAAGTTCCAAAAAAGACTCTTGCACACTTTCTAACCTGCAAAACCACATTCGATTGTGATCTGCAGGAATGTCCAATAACCTGTTTGTGTTCATTTACAGACCAGTTTCCCTTATTGACAACCAAGAGAGTGTTCTGGAGAGGAATCCTTGAAGAACTGCTGTGGTTCATCAAGGTGAGGCTGATGAGGGGAAAGAAAAAATCTAAAATCATCCTGTGCAGCTTTGACTGGCAAATGAGTGAGACGCTGATGTTGTTCTACATCACAGGGTTCAACAAATGCAAAGGAACTGTCAGAGAAAGGAGTGAAAATCTGGGATGCCAACGGTTCCCGGGACTTCTTGGACAACCTCGGGTTCACAGAGCGAGAGGAGGGCGACCTGGGGCCTGTGTACGGCTTCCAGTGGAGGCACTTTGGTGCAGAGTACAAAAACATGCATGCAGGTAGAGCTTCACCCGGAACTCTGCAGTGACAAGACTGAGTTTTATCTTTGCTACACAGATAATCATATGTGGTTCAGTCCATTTTACAAGGCGTACACTTGAGCAAGATGTTAATGATCACAAATGTCAAATAGGTAATTTTTTGTCAGGATGACCTTGTTGCTCCAACTGTAATCACAAACAAAAGATATCATCTCACTTGACTCTCGGCATGCACATCATTTTTGTTTGTGGAGCAATGAAAAGTTAAACATCTGCATGTCGAGATTCCAGACGTTCATTAAAAAATACACCTTTTCATTTTTGCCTCTTAAACTTTAAGTATAGATTTAGTTGTACAAATGTTAGCTTTTTTGAAAATCGACCAGCTTTTCATGCAGACGTGTGGGCGGCTGTGGCTCAGGTGGTAGAGCGGTTATCGATCGCCGGCCCAATGGCAGGCCAGCGCCGTGCATGGCAGCTCTGTCTCCATTGGTGAATGAGAAAACCTTGTAAACCACTTTGAGTGCTGCTAAGGCAGAAAAGCTCTATATAAGTGCAGACCATTAACCATTTACATGTTGGAGAACATTTTAAACGCAAGCCTTTGAAAGACTGTGAGTAGGTTGGCAGGTTTCAGAGAGGTCTCAGCTCGTCTATGGCCCTCTTTTCTACCAAGCAGTTAGAGAGATGGTTCAGGGCTGGTGCGTAATTTTGAGCCAGTTTTGTGTTTGAACTGTCAAAAAACATCTTCAGCTTCTCAGCAAAATCCAGCTGAAACACATTAATTCTCAGCTCGAGGACAGCAAGTTGCAAGAGTACAAAAAGGAAGCTGGAGCACATTCCCTTATTTCACATCCCTTTATTATGCAAACAGACACATAATAAAGAGCTGTGCATTAAGCAGCGTGCTCCAGCTCCCTTTTGTACCCTGGAAATGTGTTGAAGCTGTAGATGCTAATGTAGACTCTCAAAGCCAGAAGCAGCAGTTGTAAAGAGATGCTGTAATCCGCCACTGTTGTTCTTGTGCTTGGTGCTCGTGTTGTGAGGAAAGCAGAGACGTATACAAAGGTAGAAAGTGATGTAGAGACTCTACAGTGGCTCTCTATCATGTGGAAGCTGGTTCTTAGAAGGTCTATAAGCCAAACTGGCACTTGCACTAAGCTAGAACTGGAAAAGGAAACGTCACAACTTTATTCCTCTTTAAAGCTACACTTCTTATACTTTTCAGAGTGCATCTTCCGTAGCTTCACACACCTATCTGATCATCTTACATCTTAATTTGTTGTTTTCAACAGATTACACAGGACAAGGAGTTGACCAGCTGCAGAAAATCATCGACACCATCAAGAAAAACCCAGAGGACCGACGGATCATCATGTGCGCTTGGAACCCAAAAGGTGATTCAGACTGCTGAAGTTAACCTTGATTTAAACCAACCTGGTGCTCGTTTCTACTCTGATTACATGAAGGATTATCAGTTACATGTAGGTTTGTGTTGTTGCAGACCTGCCCCTCATGGCTCTGCCGCCCTGCCACGCTCTCTGCCAGTTCTACGTGTGTGACGGTGAGCTGTCGTGTCAGCTGTACCAGCGCTCGGGTGATATGGGTCTGGGAGTGCCGTTCAACATCGCCAGCTATGCGCTCCTCACCTACATGATCGCTCACATTACAGGACTCAAGGTAAAGGCGCTGAACTCGAGTCGAACCTGCCGTCATCCAGTTTGCCCTCTGTCGCCTCACCGTTTTGTTTTTCCGTCTCTTCAGCCTGGCGACTTTGTTCACACTCTCGGAGACGCGCACATCTACGTCAACCACATCGAACCTCTCAAAGTGCAGGTGGGTCAGTCGAGACCCTTCTTTGTAATCAGTCTGTTGTGTTTTTTTATTTTAAATGTTCTTAAACTCTCGTGCAGCTTGAGAGGGAGATCCGACCTTTCCCCAAACTGAAGATCCTGAGACAAGTGGAGAGCATTGATGATTTCCGTGCGGAGGACTTTGAGATCTGCGACTACAACCCACATCCCACCATCAAGATGCAGATGGCCGTGTGAAGCCACCATCATCCCACAGTATGTTCTGTAGAAATGTCTGCTTCACTCGTACATATTTTATAAGTTGAGTTTAGCCAACTCACCAAACGAGGGTTCAAAAGGATTTAATTTAAGTAAACTGAAACCTCATTAAGCACTTATAGACGGTGTTTTCTTCCCTTTTTTCAACTGTAAAAGACACAAGTGTTGGGTGTTTTCTTTCATTTTCTGTACTTTTATTGATAAATTATCTAAATCTGTAAATAAATATGTGAACTTTAGTGGTAACTTGGCTTGAACAGAAATGTTACAAACACACATCAGGAACCTGGAAGCACATAAACGGTGACGGGTAAGTAGTGTTGCACTTATGTAACCAGGCTGCTCAGAAAGGTCCTGCATTTTTGTGCATACGTGTTGCCTCCAGGAGGAATCTATGTGGGAGAAACCAGATTTCTCATTTACGTGTCATTTAAAAAAAAAAAAACCCTGGTGGAAAAGGACGACTATAAACTGATTTTCACAGAACTTGTACCAGTCTAATTATACATATAGCGGTAAAATGTTTAAGATACATTCCTTATTTCTTCTGGTGCAGCTTCCATACGTCTCCCTCGGGGTATTGGTGTCTCTTTACCGATGACTCAAGCATCTCACAAGAATAGCCTGGATCCTGAAAACAAGAAGCGCAGCATATATAGACGCCATCTAAGGCAGTTGTCGACAATTGCGAAGGCTTTTAGGGTAATGCAGATTAACTTTGTGTTTTCGAGTCAGTTTCTTACCTTTGGGGGCATGTAGTGGGCGTCTTGAATCACCACAGGGCTGGTGAAGTGCTCATGGAGGTGGTCTACGTATTCACACATCCTGGGGAAAAAAAAAAAAAAAAGGTGAATGTACAGCTATAATCAGTGGAGACCTGAAGCTGGTGACAAAAATAAACTCTGCTCTTTACCGGTTGCTGAGATTCGCAGACACGCAGATGTAGTCGAACAGAATGAGATGCTGGACGAGCTCACACAATCCGACTCCTCCGGCATGAGGGCACACGGGCACTGAGGAAAGAAGTATGTTACAAATAAACACAGATAGGTTTGTAATGCAACAAAGATGGGTCAAAAATCTAACAGAATCCATCAGTCACTAATAGTTAAGTGGTTAAAGGGGAGTGCTACGACAGGCTTAAAGCTTTGCATCTAAAAAATATGAGCTTTTTTTACTCTCTTATTTATCTTATTTTGTTCTCTTTCATGTAAGGAATTGCTCATGAAAATAATGATTTAAAAAAAGCAGAAAATCAGGATGAGGAGAATGATTAAACTTGTGTAACGTGGAAATGAAGGAGTTTCAAATGAAATAAGTTAATGATAGCTAAAAGATTAGAGGAATCTGTTTTCGTTTATTTTATCAGCACATTAAAGGTAAAAAAATCCTGTTTAACCAACTTACAGACCTTTTCAGCTGTGGCCATTTTAACATGAAATAGGAGGAAAACAGGTCAGTCAGTAATAAAGTCTAAACAGAACCTTTATGTCATTGGTAACACCTTTGTTAACTGTTTCATGTCAAAGATGCTGCTGTCAAAAAGGCTGATTTGACTTGTAGTGTGTATATAAGTAAACAGCTTTATATTTATTTTAATGCTCCATTTATATTAATTAACTAACTGGATTTTTAGTTGATGCACTCAGTTATATTTTTGACTTGTCTGATAACCTTGGAGGCTGGTGGAGGGAAAAAAAACAACACCTATTGATACTTTGTGGCTCTATTTGACGCATGATTGTTGTCATTCCTTGAACTTTTACCTCCAAACTTGTGGGCCATCAGCAGCACAGCCAGGTTCTCGTTGACGCTGCCCAGCCGACAGCTGTCTATTTGGACAAACTGCAGCGCGGAAGCCTGCAGGAGCTGCTTAAACATGACCCTGTTGTGACACTGGAGAGGAAACTTGACTAAACCCAAGAAATATGATGTAATCAATCAATTCTAAGTGTGGAGGGACAAACTTGAGGTCTGACCTGTTCCCCTGTTGCCACTCCAATCCCGAGTGGAGCCAAAGCCTGCAACACAAGAGTCAGACATCTTTAATCACTCTTCAGCCACAGATAAATGACAGAAAGAAACAGCCGGTCCCCCCCTAGAGAAGAGCCTGTATTTGATGTGACTGTTATTATTTTTGCTAGAAAGCCAATCAAATGACTACAGAGACACAACAACTACAAACACATGCAATTTTAGAGGCAGAAAACAGCTTAAGAAAAACCAAACGATCACAAAAAGGCACAAAACTGCTTCACAAATTTGCAAAAAACAAACACAAAGAGGTACAAAACATTTTAAAAGATGCAAAACATTTGGAGACACAAACAACTTCAAAAAAGTGGAAAACAGCGTCTAAGAAACAGAAAATTGCAAAGAGGTTAAAAACAACAACAAGGAAATGCAGCACAACTACAAAGATGTAGGAAATGACTTCAAGGATGAAAAAACAGACAAAACAACTTCAAGAGGGCAGAAAACTGCTGTTCAAAAATCATTTAAAATAAATCTCCAGGCATGCACAACAACCACAGAGGCACAAATCAGCTTTTAAGAGATGCAGAGATACAAAGATGCACAAAACAGCTTCACAGATGAAAAACAACCTCAAAGAAACTTCAAAGACAAAGAAAAAAAGATATGCAAAACTCCATACAGATAAATCACAATCATAATAACAATCACAACAAGAAGTAAAACAACCTCATTAATAAACAAAACATGTGGAGATTCAAACGACTTCAACAAGATGCAAAATGACCACAAAGACTCACAAAATCTCCACAGAAAGAAACAACTACAAGTGACATGATGATGTTGCTTTGTGTCTGTTTCAACCTGAATGTCTCATAATTAAATCCTAATTGTTTCCTCAACACACAGCTCAAAGATAAATCTCTCACCTTAGAAATAGTAGCGTGACCCAGGATGTCGTCCGGAGACGTCGGCTCCTCGATCCAAAGAGGTTTGACCTCAGCCAGCTTGGACACCCAGCTGATGGCCTCGGCTACATCCCATCTCTGGTTGGCATCAATCATCTAACACAAAAAAGCACATTTCAGTATAATGGCCATAAACACAAAAGTGGGGGGAAAAACAAACTTACCAGGGTGTTGTTGGGTCCAATCATTTGCCGTATGAGGCGACATCTGCGTATGTCGTCTTCTAGATCAGCACCAACCTTCACCTTAAACTTGGTCCAACCACTTTTTAGTGCATCTGTGCAGAGCTTAAGAAAAACGTGACTATCATTAAAAAAAAACGTTCATCTAACTGGAGACATAGTGTATTTTATAGAATAGAGACCTGTTTGAGCTGCTGGTCTGAGTATCCGAGCCAAGCACAGGAGGTGGTGTACGCAGGATAACCCTCCTTCAGCATCTGATCCTCTGACAGGTGACAGAAACACACAGGCAGTAAATTACTCAAGAAGAAATGTGTTTAAATGGAGAAAATGGGCCATTTCTGCTAAAAGCACTCCAGCTAATTTCTAAGGAGGCAATTTAATTCTGCACAGTCCCATTCAGCCATGTAATTAATGGCTCTTTTCAGTGTGCTCACCTCTCTGCTGCCTGCCCTCCTGTGCTTTCACAAGTATGTCTGAAAAAGGACGAGAAGCAGAAAGAGTCTGCTGGTTCACTGCTCATAGAAAGAAGGGATTTCTTTTTTCTCAAGCTGCGTTGGACACATACTGCTCATCATAAAGCTGTCTCACCCAGAGCTTCGTCCTCCGTGAGCGCGTCGCTGATGTATCTGAAGTCGATGCATGAGACAATCTGCCTTGGATCCTGGATTGACACACACAAGACACGACATTTCCCTTGAGATCGCACCCTGGGCATAAATCGATGGTCTAAATTATCTGTGACTCACCATGTCGACCAGCAGCTTCCACAGCGGCTGCAGGGAAAACGATGACAACAGCTTGTGAGTCATGAGGTGAGCAAAAATGGTGTTTTTAAGTCATAATGCCTCAGCTGGAGGCCCCACCTTGTCCTCGGCCCTCGCCCACAGGTCCCACACAGCGTTCAGGACTGCAGCAGTGGCCAGGTGGATCACTCCTTTCTCTGGACCCAACTGGGTCAGACAAGGACACAGATTTAAAAAGCCACCCTTGTTATTCCCTTTTACAAATTAAACACAGGAAGCAAAGCAAAACTGGAGAGTCTTAGTTTAAAAAATTCTACTATATTCGTCACCCTTTCCTCTTGTTGTAGTTGATTATTTATACATCTAGGGAGCTGTTTCTACTTTTTAGTCAGCATGAGGGCATATTTAATCCTGACACTACTGAAAAAAGCCAGGATTCAAGTGTGCCAACCCTTTTACATTTGTTTGGCTTGACCACTCAGTCTTAAATTAAAGGACCTGTGGCCCCGTAGCAACATTTATGGTCGTTTATGGTTCTCAGCATATGTCATAAGTCACACAGTTCTGCATACGGAGTCAGAAGTCGGATACAGTTGTAAAGTTTGTTCACCGTCGGGCAAAAAAAACATATGTTGTTGATTTTTTTTTTGCAGTAACAAACTTAATGGAACCCCGGTAGCAAAAAAAAAAAAGAACATTTCTTCAAACATTTCAATCTCAAGCTGTTAAGAATGGGGGTGGAAATATTCCGCTTAGGGGTTGTGTGGCAGCTAGTGACACATTTAATGTAGCATGAAACGAACATCAGCAAATTCTGGATGCAAACGTCCCGCAGTCAGCAAAGAAAAATGAAGTGAAAAGAGGCTGGTTTCGACAGAAAACCTCAAAGTCCACCATAAACTATTTCGAGAAGCAAAGGTGAAGGACTGTGAAAAGTCGTAGCAAGGCAGGCTAGTCCTAGTTTATATTTTCCCTTTTTGTTTCATGTTGCTATTTGAGGAGAGGCTTCTTTTTAATGCAAACAAAATATGAAATGTACCCAATTTTGTTTACAACTGTATAACAAAATGTAGTTAATTCTTGAAATATTCTCTTAAGATTGTATAAGCACAGTAAGAAGAAAGATGTTATTAGTCCCTGATTCTCATCAAATTGAATGGTTCAGCTTTATCCATGTCCGCTCATTTGATATTTATTACTAATTGAGAGTCTGTTCTTACCCATCTCATCTGGCCATCGCTGGTCAGCAGGCGGTAAAACATACGGAAGTCGCTCACGATCTCCTGCAAAGATTTCCCGACAACCAGTCCTGCCAGGGCATTAACGGCGCACACCACTGCAACAAAAACAGCCTTTAGGAGGATGAAAG